CCTCAAATTCATTGTGTCTAAGTTTTTTGCCTAAAAATCGAGTTAATATTTGAAATAGAAAATTGAAAAATTTATGCGAGAATAAGGGATTGTTGATTATTGTTATGGAGAGTAGAGAATTTATTAAAGTTAATTATCTTAAAAATAAAACAATTTTGAAAATCAAATCAAAAACGTCATAATTAAATGGTTCCCCTAATATTTGCACTGCACATTATATATGACTAAAATACTATTTTTAATCCTAGATGTAATCCTAGCCGATTGTTAGTATATTGCCAAATATTTAAGAAAAGTATTTTTATGCATAATAAGTATATTACAGCTACATCTTTAAATTGCAATAATACTGTGTATACAGTAGATAGAGATATACTGTATGTTATATAATGTATGTTATATACTGCACAGTATATTTATGCCAAACATACCCCACACCCAATTGAACCGGTAGTTGATGTAATATAAGAACCGTTACGATCATTTGCATCGTACGTGGGATCTTGAATGACCGTCCAACCAAATTTTAGCCGATTACCAAGGTGATTATCGCTAGTCATACCAAAACCGGCTATAATAGCATATTCAAGCCAAACATGATAGACATCGCTGTGCGGTAGGCATATGCTGTTGATCTGTCGGTGCGTTGACCCTATGGTGGGTCTTAGGTCGAGCGGGGTTTTTAATTTGACCATGGCTATATCATAAGCATTAGGGTCGATCAAGTATTGCGGTGGGTATAAGTATCTAGCAGCCTGTACACCTTTGCCCTTGTTGGATATGCTGAACACAGCTGGGTAAACTATTATTTTGACCGATACGCAGGTGGGACAGCTAGGTTTGTTAAAAGTTTGTCATTATGTATTAATTTAATTATTGTGAACATGTTAATGTAAAATTATTTTTAATAATTATTGTAAACAGACCAAACGTCACTTACTCAAAACAGTGTACGGACGATATAACAAACCACTCATTTAATATTGTACCCGTACAGCTATAACTACATTTAATGATATAATAATTAATGTAACATGTCATATTAAGGCAAAAATTAATTAACAATAAATTATAACAATTACGTGTCTGTTGGCAATAATAGACCATAGTCTTTCTTTACCTCGATATAGGCAACCCAAGGCATATCACCCTTTCTAGCAAACTGGCCGTTGTATATATTGCCGTATTGGGTGCCGACTTTGAAAAATTTAAAACACTTGTCACTTACGAGGACAGATGGTCGCCCTATACCGCAATCTTTTGTACTTATGGTGGTATTGATTGGCATTTGACCAGTAATTGTATTATAGCTTACAATCGCGCTAAATAATACTGTTTGTAATAAATAAACAATTTAAGTATATTAATTTTAATTTTATTTATAAATAATAACTAAAATTATAATTTACTTGTTACGCATTTAAGAAAAGCCATGATTGTTGCAATAGATTAACTTATAATAAGAATAGTATAATTATTATATAAATTAATAACAAAAATGTGATACTTATATTATTATAATAAAGGTGTAAACTTAACGGTTTAATTACTTTTGTAAATTAATACCATGATTACTTATACAAAGGATACATTTATCTGATATTATTCAGAATCTGCAGTTACTTAAGTTATATTATATTTTTTAATTATCGTATTTAATAATTATTTTTTAAGTAAGTTTAATCATTATGGTTAAAATAGTTTTAAAGTTTATTTACAATTATCTTAAGTAGATGCAACGTTTTTCTATGACTAAAAATTTGTTTGTTTAAAGCTTTTAATTAAGTAATCTCTCTCTCTCTCTCTCTCTCTCTCTCTCTCTCTCTCT